TCAAGCACTAAACACATGTGCAAATGTTGCAGTGGAAAGCTCATAAATAATTCGTACAATGTACAACATCGTATATTTTATTGTAGTGGCCTAACCCTTTATAGCTTAGTAACATTGATAACACCTCTCGTTTAACAACTTTGAAAAGTTAATAAGTGACTTTAAAGAAATGAATCTGCAGTTATAGATGTGCGAGAGACAATAAAGGATCATGCTCTTTCCTGTTAAGCCATCAAAATCAAGCAGCCAAAGGTAGACCCTGTAATACCAGAGAAGAATAAACACCAAAGGGATTTTTCACAACCTGGAAATCCTAAAATAAATGATTTGGTCAAAACAAACAAAAAAATCAGTTTAAGCCTGTATAAAGTGTTTCTTGTTAGAAGGTGGTAGACATATATAATAGTTAGAGATTTCATGAGACAATGTATGAGCATACCGTCAAAGCTGTTCAGACCACACCCATCAGCCCGAGGAAGAGTTTTCTGCTTCTTTTCTCGCAGTGGTATTGCTGTGATATGAAATTATTCCATTGAGACAAAAACAAATTCCACTTTTAGTCACTGACATCATTATCAAGGTCTAGGTTTTTACGATTTCCCTCTTTCCAGAGCCACAGTAAGTGTTACATCTCACAGGGATAAAAGATCAATGTTTTTTCTTTTTAACACAAGTCAGAAAGTTTGTCTTACCTTCAGCCATTACTTCAATATCACTTTTTCCAGTTCCCAGGTGGCCAAATGTGTTGTTCCAGGCCTGAGTTGTGAACTTAGACAAGCTCCGTGGTTTGACTTCAGACATTGATTTTCTGGGAAACTTCTGGAAGCCTGGCCTTTGCAAAGGGGGCTTCCTATTTCCTTCTATTGTCTTCAGTTTACATCTGAAAAGTGCATCCCCAAAGAGGCTGTCCACAGCTCCGTGAATACACTGAGCAGTTTGTGTACGGGTACTCAGATCCTTTCCTTACGTACAAATACCATAGCCTAAAAATACACCATTACAGGTAAAGTCCTGGTTTAAAAATGATATTTAAGTAAAAGTGCAGTATTATAATTGGCTAAATGTATTTAAGGAGGATCTTAATTATGCAGCAAAGCAGCTTTTGTGGTATTATATTGTTATAAAATATTATATTATTATGTTTTTATCAATATTGAAAACATATCAGAGCAAAAAAATGTTTTTAAAGCTACTAAAAAAGAGCTACTTTATATTGCGCATTGTTTCGGCAGATAAATGTAGTGCAGCATAATATTCCCCTCTGAGTTAGTAAAGTAAACACAATAACTAATTTAATGTAGAAGTATCCCACTACTTGAGTACATGTACATTACATTTGGTGGTTTTGGAAGGTTTTGCCACAACAAGAGAATAATATTTAAGCTATATTTACTAATAAACGCATGGGTAACCTACCATATAATGAGATCTGGTTGTTTAAAAGTGAAGAACTCTAGAGAGAACACCAATCACATTCTTTCATTGTTAATTTCCCCCATCAAAACCGAAATATCTTAAATATAAGCTACCAGAAGCATATGATAACATTTTAAAAACTTCAATCAACTATCAATCATACATATGTCTAAAATACATAAGTATTAGTATTATAGTTTGTTATTTGGTTTAATGAGTCTTCCGGGGGAAGTACTTTCAGACTTTATTGAAGAATGATTTATTCCCACACAATTACATATGAAACATCCATTTCAATTTAAGATTTAGTTTAAAGCTTAGTAAAAGCAATTACTGTCCGTGTTTCAAGCTTAGCCCTTATTGCCTCTTCTGCCCCCATATTGTTTTTCTTTTGTGCATTCACCTCCAAGGATATGTATATGTGTGTGTGTGTGTGTGTGTGTGTGTGTGTGTGTGTGTGTGTGTGTGTGTGTGTGTGTGTGTGTGTGTGTGTGTGTGTGTGTGTACGCATTGCATAACAAAACCAAGCAGAGCTTTTTGGGGTCATTTTGCCACTGAGCATGCAGACAACAGTTTTTTTTTTCAGCTTTTCCCATATTTGTATTTATTACAGGCTCTCCAGAGCTACATAAACCTATCTAGTGCAATTATAGGCTGCATATCCAACTGATGCACCTAATGTACCAGCCCCATACTGGAGAAGTCCTGCAGGTAACAGCGCTCCTGCTGTGATAGCTATCAGGGAAAGAATACCGAGCTTTTTACACCAAGCTATCCTCTCTTCGTCTCCTTTCCTTTTCTCCTCGTCAAGTTTCTCCTGGGCTTGCTTGTACATCTCGCTGGTGTAGTGTCCTCCATTAAACTCCACCATTTTGTCTATCTTCTCTAGAAGACTTTCAACCTGGATTCTGTTTCCTTCCTTGTTATTCATGAGTGAATGATACCTTCCTCCACACTGGTCTATCAGTCTTTTAGATGTATGCTCTCCGAGACATATTGGTCCACTGATTTATCCTCGAGCAAGTCAGCGTGTGTAAACAGAACGATGGTATACATGGAAGAATCCGAACCAAAATTATCCTGGATCCACTTCACAGCTGCCTTCTCCTCATCAGTGAATCGAGCCTTCAGACTGATCACTAACAGAAAAGCATGGGGTCCAGGAACTGACTGCTTAATACACTCCTCAATTTTTCCTTTTACAATTTCTTGTGTTTTGTTAGTATCAAAAAGTCCGGGACTGTCGATCACAACGATTTTCCTCTCACCATAATTAGACTCTTCTTTGTGAAGGCTGTTAGTAACAGACTCAGGAGACATATCCGTTTTAAAGGCATTTGGATTTCCCAGGATGGTGTTTCCAGAAGCACTTTTTCCAGATCCAGTTTTTCCAACAAGAACAATCCTCAGGTCTTCCAGTAGAGTTGAACCTGTGGACAACAAAGAAAACACAAGTGTGAAAAACAGTAATGCAAAGTAGCTGAGGCATTTTTTAGCCTGAAAGCAAAGAATAATCGACTGTGAGGGGACGTAGTCATGCAATGGTTTGTTGAATAAAATGTGGAATCTTCTAATTTGGCCTTTGGCTATTGCCATATTGTTATTTGTAAACCAGAAGTGCCATCAGACCGTCCAACTCAATAAAATCACATGCTGAAATATGTATGATGAAAAATCTGAAAGCACTCAATCAGGTAAACACTGTGAGTCACAAGGTAGCCACTCCTAGACCCAGATTATGCCACGTTGTCGTGTTTGACAACCTTCACTATACAGTGTTTGGTCAGTTTTATAGCTCGAAATGTTTTACTCTCTTCTCATAGCACACCTGTACAAATGGCATTGTTTCCTTAAGATCACCTACCTTCGGTTTTGCAGTGAGCAGTTTGACCACATAAAGTAACCAGCGCAAGCAGGGTGCAGCCTGAGATGAAAGCTTTTCCTCCCAACATCTCTGTAGCAATGACCTCCGTCGATTATCTAACAATAAAAAGAAAAGATAAACGTGCATGCGGTATACAGTTCTATAATCAAACAATGAAGATAAAGCCCTCTACTTACACTTTCAATTATTATAAACGTACCTGTACAAGTGTTTCTCAGCTGTCTGGTATGTTCGCAGGTGGAGAGATCCTTTTACAGCCTAAGAATAACAAACACACCCAACAGTTATATGACACTGATGCTGTGCTGTTTTAAGTTTCGTTTCTGCTTCATGACATGTGCGACGTGCAGTCAGGGGAGGCAGAGCCTCACCTGTCATACTCCAATGTAGCGGAAAAACAACTAAAGAAAAACTAAATAGTAATAATAATAAATGTCTCCACTGATCTATGATGTAAGTGTGATTCATGTATGATTCCAATCACTTTTTAAAGTCAAAATCAGCAAATTTGCCGAGCTCCGCTACAACTACGGTTAGCGATGAGAAGTGAGGCAGGGACGAGCTCTGCCTCTCGTAAGCACACAGTAACTTGCTGGAGCGCGGGCACTAATTTAGCGCGGGCACTTATTTTGTGAGCGCGCTCAAGCCAGTTACTGTGGGGTGAGGTGAGGCACAGATGAGATCTGTCTCACCTCAGAATGTGTCACCCCACAGAAACTGGCTGGAAAGCGGGCCCTAAGCGCATGCCTTTTACCATCTCACTGTAGGTCACCAATGTAATGTTTGTAGATCCCTTTATTACATTTATCCTCGCCATCCATAGTCTCTAAATAACTTATTTAACGTATATATGATATTTAGGCTCGCTGGTCTAATCATATAACGGCAATGAAAAAAGCAGCAGGAGAGGCAGCCATAAACTCTGCCGCACTGTAGGGGGCGCACGTGAGCCCACAGGTTCTTGTTGCGATTTTTATTCTACGCAGAGACGGTAGACATAAACAACAAACTAGACTTTTGAAACTACAGGAAGATAAGGTCGGAGGACTTTTACAAAAAACGAATAGAGATTGTTGTCCAGAAGGAGAGCATGGACTTAATCTTCAAATCAAGGTAAGACCACAATTGTAATGAAACAATACTACTGTCTCTTTGACCTTGTGTTTACGTGTTCCGTCGCGCGCGACAGTTGGTCAAGACCGAAAACAACAAACCGGACTAATCACTTAACTCCGATACCAAACGGTTAATTTTGATGTACGTCAACTGCACGCACTCGGAAGTACGACACTCCGTGACTAGAAAGTCTCAGTCTAAATGTTTATAATATAAAACTGGAATTAGTTTTATAAGCCAATAAAAGGTTCTTCGAAAAATCAGACTACGAAGCTAAGTAAAATTTGTGCTGGCAAGTTGTTTTCCTATGGGTTTTAGATTTATCAACCCTAACAAGAAAGGAATCATNATAACAGTCTGCAATGAAATGGTTGTCTAATGTGTGTTCCACTTCCTCCTTGGTGCATCGGTAACTCTCTCAAAAAAAATAAAGTCAGGAAAACGGATTTGTTTCTCGTGCGCACGAGAAACGAATCCGTTTTCCTGACTTTATTTTTTTTCTCTCTCCATTTTTTTTTTTTCCATGTCCCTTTAGGGGCTCCGTAGGGTAACCATTCAACTGCACCATCTTGTCTATATTTTAAAACATATCAACCACCTGAGTGCGATTATCTCTGCATGTGTTTTCAAACACAATGTACCCAGCCGTAAAACCACTGATAGGCTACACTCCTTTAGTTCGGGTCCCTCGAATAAAAAAGTCTCATTGGACTTCTCCTTGAGCTCATCCCCCCTGGTGAAAAGCACCAGTGTGTTTTTGGACGCTTCCTCACCAAAGTTGTCTTTGACCCCTCTTTGATGGCAGACTTCTCTTCTGTGAACCGTACATCCAGTCTGATCACCAGCAGGCCACATGTCAAAACTGACTTATTGCACAAAATCTTTCCAGTTTGGCTCATACAGTTTTTCCAACAAGAACAATTCTCAGGTCTTCCAGTTGAGTTGAACCTGTGGACAATAAAGAAAACACAAGTGTGAAAAAACTGTAATTTTTTTTAGCTTGAAAGCAAAGGCTAATCGACTGTAAGTGGACGTAGTCATGCATTGGTTTGTGGAATAAAATGTGGAATCTTCTAATTTGGCATTTGGCTAATGCCATATTGTTATTTGTTAACCAGAAGTGCCATCAGATCGTCCAACTAAACAATTTGCATGCTGAAATATGTATGATGAAAAAAACGGAGAGCACTCACTCAATCAGGTAAACAATGTGTGGTATTAATGTGAGTCACAAGGTAGCCACTCCCTGAAACATACCTTGCTTTGTCTATTTTATTCCAAATTTACAAAATGACCGTCATGCTGTATTGAAAATTAACTGAAACTAGTGATAGAGACTATAACAGTCAGGAAAAAGTTTACTTAGGTAGTAAATTGAGTATTATCTCATAGACTTTCTTTAGAGTCTGACTTATTTTTGCATACAGTGTTGTTGCCCCCTGTTGGAAATAAGAAAGAATGCAAGCTTAAGCATTGACTGCATTTTCTTAGACCTGGATTCTGCCTTTTGTTTTTGCCAGCCTTCACTATACAGTATTTTTGATCAGTTGTACAGCTCCATATGTTTGACTCTCTTCTCATAGCACACCTGCAGTACAAATGGCATTGTTTCCTTTAAGATCACCTACCTTCGGTTTTGCAGTGAGCAGTTTGACCACATAAAGTAACCAGCACAAGCAGGGTGCAGCCTGAGATGAAAGCTTTTCCTCCCAACATCTCTGTAGCCAGTGACCTTCGTCGAAAATCTAACAAATGAAAAGACACATTTAAAAAGAAACTGTTTCAAATCAGGTAGCAATTGAATATTTCGAAAGAAATGCTGATAAACGGTGCACAGGTGTGTTATATAATAAAACAATGAAGATAAAGCCCTCTACTTACACTTATAATTATTATAAACGTACCTGTACGAGTGTTTCTCAGCTGCCTACGAATGACAAACACACCCAACAGTCTTATGACACTAATGCTGTGCAATTTTAAGTTTCGTTTGTGCTTCATGACATGTAGTTTAATTGGCAAACCATAGCCTCAATCCACTGATCAAGCCAAACAACAAAAGCCAGAACGGGTGGCAGGTGCTTGCTTCTGCATTTGTGTTCCATTTCTCTGTCATCTAACTGCGTGACAAGCCGCCTGCCTCCTTCAGTCTTTTCTACTTGGCATGATTTTTCCCCAACTGCTGTGAACAAGCCACTGATTGTACTGTTGATGGACAGAACTCTTCAAACCATAGGTGTATACAAACTCATATTCCCTCCTGTAAGTCCAACAAGATGTGATGAAAGCCGTAGTGGATGTTTTGAATCATTAGCTTTATCTGACATGAAATCTTAAAGTAGCTGCACAATTCAGGTCTATTATATAGTCCAATGTGTCTCAGTGGGCTATGCTTTAACATCACTTAACAACCCAGTCCAATGTCACAACAAAAATAAAATATCAGTGAAAGAGAAGATTAGACAAACATGTAGGTTATTTTACATTTATAAAAGCGGAATACAGAGCTGTCGATCTTCCTATTGAGGAAAACTCTGCTCACTGACCAACGTAGATGGCAACTACAAAATCCAAAGCAACAGATTTTGTTTGTAGAACAGGGTGCTTTCAATTGTGAGCGGCCTTGGCAGAACAACACATTTTCCAGCGAAGGTAGTAGAAAAACAGAATCACGTTTCAGAGGCAAAGCTTTTATCCTCTCTGGGCACAGTGTAGACCCGTGTGTACATGTGTGTGTGTGTGTGTGGTGATAATGGCATCCTCTTACCTGCAATGTGAATTTTCTCACGCGACAGCAGCAACCTATAGTTATACAGGACTGTCTCAGAAAATTAGAATATTGTGATAAAGTTCTTTATTTTCTGTAATGCAATTAGAGACAGTCCTGTATAACTATAGGTTGCTGCTGTCGCGTGAGAAAATTCANAGCTATAGCGACAGCAGGAAACAAACAAAGTCGCCGAGAGGCTGGAGGCCGGGCCCTGTTTTGCCTATTGTAGTTACGATCGCTACAACAAAGTACTTGCTGAGATCAAAAACTCTGTGCCGAAACAATAATGGTAGTTTAACGAAATCTGGGATGCATCAACTTATTTTCTCCTTTGGACATGTACATTGTATATAGTAATCAAAGCCATCATTAAAACTTGCCGTCAACAAAAGTACAAGACCCTGTTTCACGCCTCTCTTCCACGCCCACACACCACACCAGGTGAACAAAGATCTATAAGAGTGCCGCCCATATCCAGTGACCCAGCTGGCGCGTTCTAGAACATTTTACGGATGGCGGGTGGCAATGCGGGGGGGCAAGAGGTCATGCCAGGTGCATGGGAGGGCGGACAGCCTACGTGCGTATTTTATACTGTATATAACCTATTTATTGTTAATTCATGAGTGTTCTTAATGCACAAGAGGAAACAAGGTGTTCAGACAAAACATCAAGTGCCCTTTGAGTCCCCCAAGCTTGACTTCAATAATTTAAATGAAAAGGAAACTACAAAATGTATTTTAACAGCAACTGAATTAATGGAACAGGTTGTTTTGCATTACAATGCTAAAACTAAATATGATATATATTTTTTTGGTTTTTTAAAAAATTGGTTGTCTTAGTTAGTGGACAACAGACATATTTGCATGTCCTTATAAGCATTAGATTACATATTAATTTAATATTATTACAAATCAATAATGGGCCACTCTATCCAAAAATGCGTTGCCTGCTTAATATAATCAAATGCTTGTCAACTTTAACTGGATCAAAAAGAAATTCTGAAAAAATTACTTGATTTATCTATGGAAATTGCAATATTGACACACGTCCCAAAGTTTGTATTCAACCCCCGCCACGGCCAAACCATTTACCCTCCAATTAAAATAATGGATCAGTCCATGAGTCATCTGGCATTGAGGGAATTACATCACAGGAAGTCTTTTGAAGGAAAAGGATGCAAAGAAAGGCAAGTGTCAGTGGTCTTCTCTTACCTATATTTCAGTTTTTGTATTTTTCAGATTAAGATTGACAAGCTCAACATTTCAAACTCTGTTATGAATTAATAATAGTAGATAATGGTTTATTACAAAATAACAATAATATTGCAAATATTACAATTTTGTAATGTCCTTAACTTCCATGTGGTGCCCCCATATCTTAGCTATAAACAAGGGTCTCATGGGTTACTTTTTGTTATAAAACTTCAACCTGTCTCAAATTCTTTCAAGGAATTGCTGTGTAATTATTTATACCTTGTGCTGCCTGAGGGTGGGAACATGTAAGTAGTCGACTACCAGATGTTATGATCAAATATTTTTGGTTTCATTTTTCATAGATGTAAAGACCCAAAGGCACCCGATTCAGAGAATTACTCAGGATTCTGCTTACTGTAAGTAGGCATACAGTAAAGTACTGGAGTCTCATCTGCCTCATGATCCCTGCCTCTGTCCCTCTTTCTGACACTTCAATCTTTATTCCTCATACATTTCTTCCTTCTTCACTAATGTCTTCATCTCCTCCTGGCTTCCTCCTGCTCTGACCCTCCTGGTCTCTTCATCTCTCTTTTCCCTTTCCTCTTTATGTTCGTCCTGATCACTTCTCAGATATGTCTTTTTGTTGTTGTTTAATCACTCCAGCTACTCTGGCCTGCAAGAGTCTACTTGTGAAAAGCACTGGTGCAAATGCTTGTATAACTTTACACGTTAGGGCCATTTAGCTAAGTAGCATAATAAATATAACATAAGAAAGTATTTATCAAACGCACACAGGCAGCTGTGTTTAGATCCAGTTTGACGGTAAAGGAGGTATGGTGTAATTTAGCTGGCCTCATTGCTGTGATGTGTAATTTACGTGGATTTAATAGTACCGCATAGTTTAGCAAATAAAGTAATCGATCTCCCAGCTAGCGCTGCCTGCGTAGTATTTTGTAACGTAACGTTCCAAACAGCGACCGTCTGTTAAACGCTATCGATTCAAACGGCAGCGTTTTATTAATATTTTGTTTCAAGCTCTCGTCTTTAGTAAAAACAAAACTAGTGGAAGGGGAAATGCTCCCAGGGGAAGCTGATCCACCTTCAGGTGCTGGGACAGCTCGTTCCCTCTCTGCAGCTGTGTGAGCCGCGGTCTGTGTGAACGCCGCTCCGCAGTTTAATGCAGGGCCGTAGCTACGTTTTTAACGGGGCTAAATGATATTTAAAATTATTCACTTTTAATTAATGTACTGCTTGTTTCGTTGCTTGACAAGCTTGTGGAAATAGTGTAGTGTTGTTTCTACAAGTACAGTTTTAGGGAAACAAAAGTTAGGGGGGCAGCTGGGGGGCTTAAGGCTCTACAGTGGGGGGACAAAAAAAAAAAAAAAAAAAAAAAAAAAAAAAAAAAAAAGGCAGCTGCCCCCCTTGCCCCCCTCTACATCCGCCCCTGCATGACCCAAGCTAACCAATCAATAGTGATCAAACAAATATCTTATATTAAAACAAAATGCATTACTATACACGTTTCATGGCTCCTAAGAGCATTAAAATCAAAATATACTTTCTAAAAGTAAAGTACTCGTTTTGCACATTGGCCCATTCCAGATGTATATATATTATATGTTTTGATCATAATTATTGATCATTAAAGTGTTATCAAAGCTGGTAAAGGTGCAGCTCGTTTGAATGACTTTATACTGCAGGGTAGATTGTGATTTTACTCCAGGTGTAATAAAGCCTTATTTAATTTTGTATTATGTTTCACATCATTAATCCAAATCTGCAAGGGATCTAAATAAATGTAGTGGAGTAAAAGTACATTATGTAGGCCTACCTCTGAATTGTAGTAGGGGAGCAGTATAAAGTAGTACGAAATTGAAATAATCAAGTAAAGTACAAGTCTCTCAAAAGGAACTTAAGTTACTTAGTTACTTTACACCAGTGCTGATTAGTTCTTCTTCGTTATGCTACTTCTACTCCGACTTCTAAATTACTTTGCAGATTTGGATTAATGATGTGAAATATAATCAACATTTTTGAAGGCAACACTTTAATTTACGAAGGACTTAGTTATCTACATTGTGGTTTCGCTACTTTAACAAAAGTCAAAGTTCTGAGTATCTTTTCCAACAAAATAAAGAGAGGCACAGCTTCATTCTCGCTGTTGACTTCAGTGCAGCTCCTGAGCAGGTGGAGAGGTCATGGTGCTGCAAACGCTTAGCTAATACAGTTACAGAGACATGGACAGGAGGATAAAAGAAAGACACAGAAGTGTGTGACTTAGCCTACCTGCAGCACTTAGACGCCTGAGCCCCTTACTCACTGACTCGCCGTGGTTCATTTGTTCTCACTGCCGTGAAAGTTTCGGTAAACTAATGTAGCGTTTGTTAGCTAGCAGTGCTAACCAAGCTAGCGCTGCACCTCAGCGTCAAGTATGTTCTCTCTATTTGTAACCATGGTCACCACGACGCTTCAAAACAAAGGAGGAGCAGAGGCGTTTGTTTTAAACAAGATGTGAGTTTTCTATGACAGTACTATTGCACATGTGTTTCCGGTTTATTCAGTTATTGTAACATAAAGGACCCCCCTAGTTTCTATCACCACACAGTCTGTGTGGTGATAGATCAAACCTTAATCAGCCTATTTGGGACTGTACCCATACTTTTGGGTATGACCTTCAATTATTATGTATTTAATTATATTTGGTTATTTTGATAGTGGCATCAGTCTTGTTGTTTTATATGCAAAAATCCATGTTGGTTACTATAACATTTGCATA